TGTTGTGTTGGTGGTGGTCACAAATGATATGTTGATTGTGACCAATAAATTGGTTGGTGTGTGACCAATGAAGAATAAATTATGACCAATAAATACTGTGTGACCTATAAATTTATTAATTTATGATCAATAAAAATAATCTGTGACCTATAATTTGATATTTTGTGAGCATAAAATAAGTAGTGTGACTTATAAATTTTATGATTTGTGACCGATAAACAAATTGTGACTTTTAAATTTTTAATTTCTGACCAATGAATGAATTAAAATTTTTGAATTGTGACCGAATTGCATAAATCTGTGACCTTTATATATTTATTAATAAAATATATAATTAATTAATTAAATTATAAATAAATGTTAATGAAAACCTGATTTTTGAAATTTAAAATCTCAAACCTTAATTTTGAATGGTGATACTTAAATACATTATTTATGTATTGTTCTCTTTTTATAATTAGAGAAGCTTTTAGAGAAAGCATGTCCAATGTAACTTACTCTAAACGCACTTTCGGAATAGAAATTTTTTTTATAAAATTAGTTTTCAAATAAAAATAAAAGTAACTTCTTCTAAAAGCTATTTTACCGGGAGCAAAAGTAAAAACAAGAACCGTGCCAAACGGGCTCGAAATGTTTTTAGAAGGGTTTTTCATGACAAAATTTGCCCCTATTTGATAGTCGTTATTTAGCAAAAAACAATATTTTGAACAAGGGCTTATCCTTCTTCTGAATAATTTTATTAGGGCTTCGTTCGGTATGGATTAAAATCCAATTAAAATTGAAAATATGACCGTTATTGGGTCCCACTCGTCTAATAAAAGTCAACAATAACGACTATTTTTTCAATTTTAATCTGATTTTAATTCCTACCGAATGGGCCCTAGAACACTTTTTTTGGTTATTTGAGAATTATAATTAGGCCATGTTGGGTGGAGATTAAAAATTATATTTTTAACAATTTTTTATAAAAGATGAAAATTATGATTGAAAAGTTGTGAATTCATAAAATATGTGATTGAATAAAAATTTAAATCTAATCCCTACCAAGCATAAGCTAATCCGTTGTTTGACTACCATTTTTTATGAAAAATGAAATTTTGAATAGTGATGTTTAGGAGAATGTGTGATAAAAAAGTAGTGAAATTTTTTAAATTTACGTGTTGAATATTTTATTGTTAGTGTGCAGTTGAAAATATGTAAAAAAAAAATTGAAAAAAATGATTGTCAAACGGGGCCAAGCATTTATTTAATAGTTTACACTGAACAAGTGAAGTTCTAGAGTTGACACAAACATTCGGAGGTTGAGGAGCATAGAATGTGAAGAATTAATTTGTAATATGAAACAAGAACCAATACTGTTTAACACACATTTTGAAATGTTAATCCTGCACTTCTTTTTAACAGTTGTCGACGAATTCACAGTAATAAGGTAATTAAACATTTTACACCAATCCACGTCTACAACAAATAAATTGCCTAAGCTTTTGCATGCCCAGATATTGAGCACAGGATGAGTCGGAAAACAAGACAATATCAGATAATACGTTGTGAGTTCTGCCTCAGCGGTGCTTCGGCATCCCGTTGCTGTTGCTGCTGAGTCGTCTCTTCATCCTGATTTTCCATTTCTGAACTACTTGATGGTTTAGCACCAGAAGAAATAAGGTTCTTGAACCAACTAGCTTGGAGTCTAGGAGATCCTCCTCTATTAGAGTTGCTCGGGGACTCTGCATTCAGAAGTGAATTGTTGGAAGCAACTCCTGCAAGAAACCGATACGCCACTCTGCTAGCAGTTACAATCTCAGTTTTAGCTTGCCTAAACTGCAACACCACCAGAATTGATCAGATATAAAACCAGTCAAACAGAGAAGATTGATCAGACAATACAGATGGAAAAACCCACAAGAATGGAGAAGAGTAAAATGTCGGATTGTGTAGAGCCTACTTATTACTGTTCACTTGTCTCCTCGATTACTAATCTACCTACCTTTCTACACTATTAAAAAAAACCCAAAAGAACATATATAACATTCATCACTTTTTATTAGGTAACCATAGCTTCCTACACTACATCAAGGAATACGAGGTCATCATTGTGACTCAGGGAGACAGAGAAAGGCGTTTGATCTCCACTGTAAACTCTGTGTTCTCCATAACATGCAATTGCAAGTGGATATAACTCTCACGTTGAGGTTGAAAGCCAATGAATCTGTATTTGCTTTGCATTTTTCTGATTTCTGGTTGCTTTCTATTGCTCTCATCGGGATTGGGATTAGGGCTAAATTCTGACATAGGCAGGGATAGGACGTCCCTCGACTATGTACAAATTTGCAAAGAACGGCAGTTTATGGTTTCTGTAAACATTCAAATTTACAGCTCACTTTCCAGGATCACCTAGTATACAATACTCGCACCATTGCATATGAAGTAAAATTTTATATTGAATATGATAGAAAGTCCAGCAGCTTATACTCTATTTCTTTCCACCCATTTTTCACATTGGGGTCGAGGGCAAGACAGCTGATTATGTCAGGAATAATGATTTTACTGCACAATTTTCAATTAATTTTAAATAAATTTCAAGCGAAGGACAATGTGTTCTAAGAAAATAAATACTATAACCTTACTCGATAAGCTGTGCTTTCTGCTATTTCAGCAGCAGTATCACCAGCGTGTGCAAACCTGTTCACCCAACCTGTCATGAACTCACAAGAACATAATATAGCGCATGGTAAGTTGCAAAATATTATATAAAGCGACGGTGCAAAAAATGTCAAAGTCATCACCATTCTAAAATTAAAATTTACAGTACATTATCAAATTTATGCATAAACTCTCCAGGTCTGCAGCAACTTATCCTCTCTGGCAGGTTCAAAACTTCATTTAGATCCTGTACTAGCTCTAAAAATTCTAGACACGCTTCTACAAGAACAAATCACACTATGTATTCAATTCACATAAAACACAAGAAAACTCATTAATTAACTTCGAACCCGATTCTAAGCTAAATGAATCTAGCTCAAGAAGCTTAGCAACAGCTGCAACAGAAACATCATTCATATTTTATTTTCACCCAAAAGAAAAAGAAAAAGAAGAAGAAGAAATCATATTGGCACAATGAGAAAATTCACAATTGTAATTAGAAATACTTAGTTTAGGTCTTATTAAGTTTACAAGTCATGTTAAGATCTACAAGTTGAGTTAAGTGAAAATATTTGTATTACTCGGGAATATTTGATAAAGTTGCTTTAGGATGTCATGTCACTGGAGCTCATAAATAGATATGATATCCTCACAAAACAAAGAAGATTACAAAATCGTACTTCTTCCCAGAGCATTAAGGATTAATTAAGATGATGTGATGAATTCCAACCCAGGAAATGGTCCCTAAATTTCTTTAACTTCCATCATTATTCTTTTTCATGTTTAGCAAGTTCACCAAGAAACCTTCAAACAGATCTACTTTAGTTCCCATGTCTCAGATATAAGTCCAACCAATTTTCTCCTCAACAACTTCCCAAGAAGCCTTAAAACCTTAGAGTAAATTAGATCAATCCCCATATTATTACTTGTCTCTAACCCAGCCTTCCTACACAGAAAGCTTTTTAGCCTACTGTTTTGCTACTTTTCAAAACCAAATCTCATTAGGTAGACAAACTCAAATCTGCAATTAGCACCACTAGTTTACCAATCTTCTTAAGTTTCACTTAGCCACAATCCACTTAACTTCTTTGATTCCATAGCAATATATATCTCGACGTATCATCACTTTTCTTTCAAAGACAAATAAATGTTTCTGCATCTGCAACGTCAGACATTAGCAAACAATGTGAGACTAAGACCTGAATAATATTTCTACTCCTAAGTAGATGATAGATTAGAGCATCATTAGCTATTATAAAATATCCAATAATAACAATATGAACAGTTGGCTACAATTTTAAGGGTGAAGGACTGATAGTCTTCACTCATGAGTAATCCTAAGTACGTTTGTAAGCTACATAAATATAAAATTGTTCTATGAGTTTAATGTGTCTTAAATAGAGAGACGAAATCCCAGACTTAACAAGGTTGTCCAAGCTACAAAAGATGACTCCCACCCTGCCTTGTGACTATTGACTATTGAGCCTCCAGAACCGAAGCAAGTATAAAGTTCAAAGGACATTATTCGGAATGGCCCAACTTAAGGCGAATATGGGTTTGTATTGCATATTTCCCAGCAAGCTATAAATGGGCAGGAAGAAAACTATTATCTGACCTTTTTGGAACAAGACCATACTAGATGAATCACAACTTGGGGGGTCAAACCGCCTACATATTTATAGTTAAGTATATGTTGTGAATGCATGCGTGCAGAGAAAAAGATACAAAGATTGCAATTACCAGGAAGCTTTGGCACACCAAGTCTTTCACAAAACTCATCACAGAAATGATTGCAATTTTTTGATAACAAATCATAAGAGTGTCCAGGCCACTCTCTACTAAGTTCCCTCAGGATCTGATTAACCTTGACGATAGAAAAGGTAGTTTCTCCAAGTTTGATGCTTTCACGGAATGTATACATTGGATTCTTTGTAGATGGGCAGCTAAAAACTCCAGTACCTTGCTCACAGTACCCAAAGGACCATTCGTCATCTCCATAAATCTGTTGATGTGTAAATCATCTAAACGTAAGAGCAATTACATATAACACCTAGACATTTAATATTCAAGAGGTTCAATATATTTTTTCGAAAACCCACACCTAACAACCTGAAATCACATAAAATGTCAAACGATCAGGAACGGATTGGACGGGGACAGTACTGGGCTGTAGTCCAGTGCTGCCCAAGCACATGTACTGCCCAAGCACATGTCCAGTAAAGACATCCAATTAAGTGAATAAATGTTTATTATACAGTCCATACCCCACTAACAATCAAATAGGCCAGCCTAATTTTAATCAGTTTTTTAAATTTTTTGGCCCAATTGTTTGTTTCATTTTTAGCCCATAACAACACCAACCCAGTTTTCATCCTTTATTTTCTTCCTCCTTCCCGTCAATTAGAAACAACTGAAAACCAATTTGAAATACCCAAATCCTTTTTAACCCTAAATCTTTCCCCTAGCCACCCACGACAGCACCATGTAGATTTGATTTCTAGATTGAAGGATCAAGTCGAGTCTCTTCATCAGGAGCTTAGTTTGATGAAAGCGTTTCTCAAGGACTCCATGGAGAAGCGTAATGAATTAGAATATGTAAGGGAATTGGTTAGACAAGTCAGCGTGGTTGCTTATGAGGCTGAGGATATTATTGACACATTTGTTGTCAATGAAGCATCTAAAAGAGGGAGAGTGAAAAAAATGATCCTTGTATTTGGTACAAAAATCTTCTTAATGTTGTGAAAGAAATTGACAAGACAAAAGTGAAGGAGATTTATGATAACAAAATGTTTGGAATTGAAAGCCTACAAAATGGAGAGCCTCTTGTGGAGGAAGAAAATGTTGTGGTCCTTGTGGACTTTGATGAGGAGGCTAGAACCATTATTGATCGCCTCACTAAAGGGCCAGAGCAGCTGGAAGTTGTAACAGTTATCACTATGGTTTCTTGATCAAAATTTATTTTAGAGGCTTTGGTTTGTTTATTTTCGAAAGCATGCAAAAAGGTTCGATTCATTAACTCGTACATTAGATTTTTGAAAAAATTCTGCCCCGTGACGTTATATTACGAATTTTTTTTCTTATATATCATATATGAATTTTATTCGTACATTAACTTTTTAAAAACTTTTGCCCCTGTGACGATAATTCCTAGCTCCGTCCATGCAAACAATATGCTATATGGATGCAAGCAAACATACATAATGCAAACTCAAGGGAGCATTTATACAAGGAAACTCAAATCTAAGTTATGCATCTTTGATGAGGACCCTTTTATAATGTAAAATTAATGTTCCTTCATCAAATTATACAAGCAAATCGAAAAATGATGGCTATCGAGTGCTATCTTGTACGGGCTGCAAGTTAATATACATGTTGTAACTCTATTATTTCAATACAGAAATATATTCGCTTCGCACAAGTGGATGTAGGCCTACTATCAAACCAAGTAAACTCACGTGTTTTATCTCTTGCTCTCTCTTTGCGATTCTGTACAATTCATCGATATTGTAGCATGTAACACAACTATTATCAAAGTGCATGTTTATGATGTCAGGGTTTCTTCAGTGAAGTTCGACTAAATTGGAAATTTCAATTAGGGCAGAGGGCATGATGAATGTCATATGAAAAGAAATCTATAGGCACGGATGATAGAGATTGGCAGGAACTTGAAGCGAATGTTGTCGTGTATAAAAACGAAGGGTTAGGATCTCATTTCTACAAATTGAAAGACGATGAGTACTTTGGGGTATTTATGTCATTTGAGTTTTGTGGAGTGTGGTGGTAAGCAAATCTTACTTTTTATTTTTCTTCACTAAGTACTATAAAAACGAAATTTTAGACCTCATTGCTACAAATTGAAAGATGACGAGTAACTTGGGGATATTTATGGAATTTGTGTTTTGTTGAGTGTGGTGGTAAGCAAATCTTAACTTCTTTTTATTTTTCTCAATAAAGAGAAGCTGCAAAGTATAATTGAGTATATTAGGAGAATTCTCTTAAGTATTTATGAAAACATAAAATACACCATTATCCAAACACTCACAACAAAACGATGTAGCAGAAAAAAAGAATTGACACCTTGCAGAAATATGTAGAAGTATGCTACACGCAAAGAATGTGCCGAAAGGTTTTGGACGGAGTGTATGAGGACAACAACACATATAACCAATAGGCTATCACAACTGAAGCTAGGGTTGACGTCACCATTTGAGAAACTATGAAAACTAAGCCGCTAGTCAATTTAGAGTATTCAACTACGTATGTGATATTGTTTGTGCCTAATCACTTAATGAGCAAGTTTAACAGAAAGGATGGAGATGTTAGGACCGTACAATTGATCGTTGTTACACATCAAGGAATATTGTGTTTGATGAAGCATCTTCTTGGTGGACATTGTAGAGGGTGGAGCTGTTGATTCAAAGGAAATGGAAGATAAATTATAAGATGAGATCACAAAAGCACAACTAAACCATGCAAAAACAAAACATGCACGAGAATCAAGTGATGAGGATTTTACTGGCACAATATAAAATCATTGACAGATGGATATACACCAGACAATACCAGAAGAGATAAATAAGGTCGATTCAAGAAGAGAAGGTTGAGGTACAAACGAGTCCACAACCACAGTTGAGAAAATTAACTAGATAGAGAAAACCAAATCCTAAGTATGCTAACGTAACAGTAGAAGAAGACGAGAGTGCCAAAGAGACAAAGACCTTTAAAGAAGCGATCCAAACAAGGAGTGGATAAAGGCAAATGAAGAAAAGTTCATGGCTCTAAGGCAAAATGAGATTTAGGATTTAATGTTAAGGCCTGATGGAGTGAAGCCTATATCCTGCAAATGGGTATACAAAGTACAGAGGCATTCTGACGGATCAACCAAAAGATACAAAGCTCGACTAGTAGCTCGTGGATTTTCACGACAATATGGATAAACTATGATAAGACCTTTAGGCCAGTAAAGGTCACTACAATACCATTGCTAATAGCATTTAGCAGCAAGTCCTGAAAACTGTGGCAAATGGACATAAAAAATGCATTTCTCCATGGGAAACTTTATCGAGACATATATATAAAGCAACCAAAGGGATTCGAGAAAAAAAACCCAGGATATATGCAAGCTAAAGAAGGCCCTATTTAGGTTAAAGCAAGAACCAAGAGCATTGTACGATTATATAGTCGAATTTTTAGTTCAAAGCAAATACTCGATAACACCAGCAAACTCAGGCCTATTTGTCAAAGCAAAAAATGGAAAACTAACAATAGTGCTAGAGCCTGTTTGGTAGGGATTTTTGGGGGAAGAATTGATTTTGAATAGTGATATGATGGGACATGTATGGTTGAAAAAGAAGAAAAAAGTATTGATGAGATGAAAATTATTATTTTATTGAAGAATGTGTGATTGAAAATGAGAATTAATTTGAGAATCAGAAACAAACAGGGCCCTAGTATATGTGGATAATCTCACCATTACTCGAGATGAAGAAGATGATGGAGTTGTAAGCTTTTAATTTTATGATGGAACTATCTAGATTTCAAAGCCATTGATACTCACTACTATAAATATGGTCCATCGCTTGCATTTTGAGATTGAAGAGAGAAAGAAAGTAAGAAAGAATTGAGGAGAGAAGAAGAGCTGAGAAAATGAATTAGTGTTGTCTTCCTTTCGTAAATATAATGTTATAGTGCTTAGTGGTCATGGTGTGTCTATCCACATTATGTAATTCTACTTTGCTAATAAAATCATTTCCTTTTGCGTTTAAACTCTACATTTAGGCTCCAAGTTAAGAACCGCTATTTGTGCTTTTCCATTTTGTTACCTTCAATTCAATGAGTCTCGTGTTCCTTCTATTTCTTTTTTTAGTCAATTTCTCTACCTCTCTTTTCTAGTTCTTTGGTCTTTACATGGGTTGGGTGATCATGGCAGGGCCTATTCCATATGTAAGATTGCTCAAACCAAATCCCATTGATCAAACCTTAGAGTGTGTATGATGGATATTATTGAGAAAATAATGTATTTTAAATAGTGATATGAAGAGAAATATGTGGTTAAAAAGTAAGGAAAAGTTATTCATGTGATGAAAAATATTATTTTATTGAAAAATGTGTCGTTAAAAATGAGTTTTGAAAAAATGTATTTTTAAAAAATGTGCGCTAAACAAGGGCTTAATCTAGAAAACCAATGTCATCCTCTAGAAATGCAGCTATGGGTAATAATAAAGCAAACTATTTTAAAGGTTGGACTCCATGTCCATTTTAAATAAAATCCTTCTAAGGAAATGTCAATAAGCTCAACTATGCTACCAAATGAAAACATAGAAAGCCCTGATTTATTTGCTGATATATAAATCTCGTTGCTAAAATCAAGGGAACATCGAGTTATAAGAAGCAGTCCACCACCAATTAGGCAAAGGTTTTCCACACCAAAAAGTTTGAATATAAATAAGACCAAAGGCTGGACTGCACATATTTAAACCACAATGTCATAGTATGTTGGATGCAGCGAATGGAAGACAGGTGCATCACCATTGCAAGCTTCAATTGCAAAATTGAATGCAATTCAAGTTCATTTGAAAGCTCACGTGCTAAAAAGGAGAGGCAAGGAGTTCTTTGGAAGAGATTGAAACGGGGATGAACCTTTCTTTGGGAAAGTCCAAAACTATGTTCCTGCATGTCCAGGAAAGGACGCAAACGTAGCAAAATTTAGGCATGAAACTATGACTATGTCTGCCTGTGTGTTAGACCAAATTTAAATATAAACACAAAACAAATTTCTTCAACTAGATATCAAAATAAGAAACCCTGTGTTCAAAATATTCTCCTACACTAGATACCAATAAAAGAACTTAAAATGGGAAAAGAAAGAAACCGCAATATAAACATATAAAACAAAAACCTAAAGTGTTCGCACAGAGAAAATTAAAGTGAAAAAAAAATCCAGACGACACTAAAATCCTAGATCTAATTCACATAATACCTAAAAGAAATAAGAAAATACAGAAACGATAAATACAAAACTGAAGAAATTATTAGTAGGTGTACATAATTAAGAATAATTGGAAACCTGAACGGCGCTGTGGAAGATGCCACCTAGACCAATACCGTCCTTGAAGATCTTATTGATCTGCATGATTGTATTATTGGTCTTATCAGAACCACTATTCGTCACATCATATACATGGAGGATCACCTCCGTCATCCTCAATCCCACAATTACCAAACACTCTCAATTCAAAACCCTAACCCCCTATTCTCCGTCTCGCTCCCTCCGTAACAAATTTCCTACACTTACCCCTTAATCGAAATGAAAAAGTGAATTACTGCATTGGTTCTAGAAGACTACTGCTAGAAATCAAATTAAGGAATAAAAGCACTGATTGCGAAGGGTGAGAGGAATCATAATCGTTTCTTGGCGCCTATGGTATTTATGTAGTTTTTCCAGATTTACACGGATGCGGGTGAAATGAAATCAGTGGAACTGTTTGAACAAGTTAAAATTAAGGCACTGTATGGGAGAGATTAAAATCGGATTAAAATTGAAAATGTAGTCGTTATTGTTGACTTTTATTAGACGGGTGGGACCCAATAACGGTCATATTTTCAATTTTAATTGAATTTTAATCACTCCCGAACAGGGCCTAAAACTTACCATTCTTCCACTTATTTTTAATCACACATTATTCAATAAAATAATATTTTTCATCACATTAATAACTTCTTCTTCTTTTTTAACCACACATTCTATATCAATCTACTATTTCAAAATACATTCTTCCAAAATAACGTAACTCAAACATTAAGATTTAAAATATTTTTTAAATTTTGAAAATATTAAACGTCCAATATACCCTCAAAGCAAAATAAAATAAAACAAGACATCAAATTAATTAAGTCCACCTTTTTAAAAAAGTTACATTACACCCTTGTTTGATTCACATTAAAATTTTCATTTTTATTCTTCTAATTATTTTCAACCACACATTTTTCAATAAAATAATATTTTCCATCACATCAATATGTTTCGTTCTTTATCAACCACACATTATCTATCAATCTATTATTTCAAAATACATTCTTTCAAAATAATGTGGCTTACATACATTAANTCTTCATTACATCCTAACTTATTTGACTTTCTTAATAGTTTTTTAAGTTTATTTCTTTTTTCTGCGCCCCTGTTTGACCCACATTATTTTTTTCATTCTCATTCTTCTACTCATTTTCAACCAAACATTTTTTAATAAAATAATATTTTACATCACATCAATAACTTTTCTTTCTTTTTCAATCGCACATTCTCCATCAATCTACTATTACAAAATACATTTTTCCAGAATAATATGGCTCAAACACACCACATTTTGAATTTTATATAAGTTTACTTAAATAGATAAAAATAAAATTAAATAAAATACATCACTCTAAATTCATCAATTAATATTTATTCACATTAAATGCTTTTGAATCTTCTATATTTTTTTTAGATTTCACGTTTAACTAAGTGCTTGTTTGGTAGGGATTTTTGGGGGAATAATTGATTTTTAAATAGTGATATGATGGGAAATGTGTGGTTGAAAAAGAAGAAAAAATCATTGATGTGGTAGAAAATATTATTTTATTGAAGAATGTGTGATTGAAAATGAGAATTGATTTACTGTAGAAAAATCTAAATCCCTTCCAAACAGGGCCTGGGTGTAATTTTGCTAACAACTAGATTTTTGAATAGTGATATGATGGGAAATGTGTGGTTGAAAAGGAAGAAAAAGGTTATTGATGTGATGGAAAGTATTATTTTATTGAAAAATGTGTGGTTGAAAATGAGAATTGATTTACTGTAGAATTTGAGAATCAAAAACAAACAGGCCCTAAAACTATCACTCAGTTTAGAGAATTAAGCATGTGAGTATACTTACACTTTGGTTTGAATAGAGTCGTCAGTTAGACCTGAACATCAAAAACTCTTAGTAATGTGAGTATATTTTTTTAGATTTCACGTTTAACTAAATGGTGTCGGTAATGTTAAAACAAAGAGAAAACCGGTGATAAAAATATTAAGGTATGAGTTTTTTATTAGAACCATGATATGAGAGCTAGCGAGGTTAATGATCTGTTTATCGTGGAGAAAGGTCCAATTACTAGATCACGAGCAAAGAAGGTCAAAGAAGTCATAAGATTACTTATTCAAGGTACGATGGATGAAACATCGAACACAACAAGTAAAATGACAAGTTTCATATT